AGAGCTGATCCCCCCACCCCCACTCAGGGCTGCCAAATCCTCCCGGGCCTCAGTTTCTCCATGCTGCACTCTTCCCTCTTAATTCCAAGAAGCCACAGCTGTCTCAAGGGCTTCTTTGCCTAAGTCAGGTGACTCCCCCCAGCCCTCCTTCACCCACCCGCATACCTCACTCAAACCCACTCATCAGTCAAGAAACAGAGGCCCCCCCCAGCCCAGACCCAGTCGGATAAAGAACCCAGGGCTCTGCCCACCTGTGGGATCCTTCTGCAGGGTGCGCCCACACCAGTCTCACCCCCTCGCTGAGCTGAATGAGGCCGGGTTTCAGCAGGAGACAGATTAGAACAAAGGTTCCCTGGGAGATGAGGCCACAGAGCTGGGGTGCAGCCAGATGCCCAAGCCGGGAGGGGTTGGAGATGTAAACATCTGAGACCCCACAAGGTCTGAGGAGCCTAGATCACCTCTACGACCCCAGGGCAAGGGATACCTCTCCTAACAGGCCCTCTCCCCAACTTGCAGGGCTACAGGCAGGGCTCTAGGAGCTGTTACTCCAAGGACCCCCCTCACCTGGGCTGAAGGGAGTCACATGATCCAGGAGGGTCCTTCCTCAACCCCCAATTTCAGGGTTCTGAGCAGATAGGCTGATGGAGGACCCCAGATAGTAGAAGCAGGGGGATGAGGCCTGTCCATCCATCACGCCCTCACCTGCTCTGCCCCATTCAATGAGATGGGGTGGGTGCCCCCACAGGGCTGGCAGGCCCAAGCCTCTCAGCCCTCAGATCGAGGTCCACACATAGTCTGCAACCTGCCAGAATTGTCACTCTTAGCAAGGCACATGCTTAAATTCCTTCTTTCATTCCATCATTCATTCTCCCATCAAATCCTGGCCCCTCCAGATTCTTCTCTCAAGGAGCCCTGGGCAAGAGAGCTGGGCATGAGACAGTATGGTCACCCCAGAGGGAAGAGCCCTAGGGGGGAGGGGCAGACACTAGAATAGGGGCCTTGGGAATGTAGCCCAAGCTGGGACTGGATTTGGGGAGGACCTGCCAGGTGGAAGGAACCACCTGACCCTGAAGGCTGGGAACTGGAACCTTTGCCAGGAGTGAGGGCTACAGGGGACCTCTTGACCACCTTAGGCCCTTCCTGATCCCCGAGGTGTCAAGGCTGGAAAAGGAGGTGGCCGAGCTAAGACCTTCAAAGCCAAGTCAATCTGGACTTTGAGATCCCTGGGAGGCTGGTCAATGTGTCACGGGCCCAGTAACCTATTAAGCCTGGCTCACTCATTAAGACCGTGGTGGGTGCCCATTAGTGCCTTCGCCGGCTTCAGGAGCCGAGCAGAGGGCAGGGGTCATGGGAAGAAGGGAGCGCTGATTGGGGTGCTAGGTGGAGGCTGGCTGAGGGGCTCTCTTGTGTCCTTGTTCCTTGAGGAGTGTTCCAGGGCCAAGCCGGCCTCCAGCCAGGGACAGCTGCCAACACAGCCCAGGGGGTGGCGCCCCACCATTCTAGTGACTTTTACCTCCTTATCACCCCTGTGTGCTGGCACCAGCAGCCCACACTGCCTCGGGGGCCTTGGCCAAAGGGCCAGGTCAGTGCCCGGCTCAGCATCCAGCCACACGGCTCCTCTGAGAAATGGGCCCACTGTGGCCTCCAAAGCCCTGTCTGTTTCAATGGGCTGGGATCTGCCCCACCTCTGTATCTGGGAAAACAAGCTCCTGGTGGGGCAAGAAGGGAGCTCTTGGCATAGGAACCTGTAGCATGAGAGGGGAAGGGACCTGCCCAAAGCCACTTGGCAAGACAGTGACCCATGACACAAGTTGCAAAGCAGTTCCTGCAACTGGCATCTCATTGCAGCCCCACCCCACTGTCAGATCCAGAAAACTGACCACACTGAGTACCAGGAATCACCCAGAAAGCCTTGTGCCCTGAGTGGGCCATGGTGAGGGCCATGTTGTGGGGAATGGTGGGGGCAGTGCATGGGGGCGTGACATCCCGAACTGCAGTCATGAAGCTCACAATGAGTGAGTAATGCAGGATGGGTCCAGATGCCCGCCGTGCCTGGCCCATACTCCAGAACTGCTGGAACAACATCTCAGGGCCCCCTGGGAGCCCGAAACCCAATATTATCCACGACATTTTATATCCCCTGGTGTACTGCACCAAGGAGACACTTGGTAAACTGGCTAAATGAAACTGACTTCAAATCCAAGCATCATAGCATTTGAGTCAATATTGGGATCACAGAATCTCAAATGTTTGGTCTCTGACATTCCAGCATCCCAGAAAGGTCGGCTTACATACCTTCCCCAATGGGGAGCTCACTACCTCCAAAGACAGTGGGACTGTGTTTGGCTGGCAAGTTCTTCCCAACATTAAGCCCCAGTTTGCCTCTTTGTAATACCTGCTGCAGGTTGCAATAGTCCACCTGCTGCAGGTGGGTCTGACCTCAGATCCTGCCCACTGTCTAAGGCCACAGAGCAGAGAAGCAGGAACCACCCCAGATCCTGTACCTGGCCACAGCCTCTCTGAGCCACAAAGACCACACTGAAGGGATGGAAAGAAGACTTCAGCTCAATGAAAGGGCTGGTGCCACTCAGTTGTGATAGAGGGAGGTCAGCACAGGCCAACTGTGGGCATGGACAGAGCTCCTGTGCCCCCAGAGCCTGGCCAACACCCCCAGTGCCATTTGCAGCATTTATTATTCCAGCACCCACCTTTCATGTGAGGACACAGGCTGGAGCATGGCCAAGTGCATGGGTCCTTCAGAACTGTCAGCTTGTGAATGCCTGGGAGCACCCAGCCACAGGGCTGGCCTGGCACTTGATGGACCAAGTCCAACTATCAAACCCAGAGGCAGGATGGCAGAGGCATGGGCCCTAGAGTCTCTGGGTTCAAACAACCCCAGCCACTGACAGTGTGGGTATCACAGCGGCCTTTCCCTTCCTGGCCTCAATCTCCTACCTGAAGAGGAGGGATGACTAGAACAGTTGCTGGGAGGATTCCCTGAGATGGCCACGTGCACACTGTAGGAGGCACCTGCTACTTTCGAGGCCTCACAGGGTCTCGCCAGGCTCCGACACCGGGCTGTAGGAGCTTCTCTCCTTTCCTGATGAGCAGCTCAGAGCAGGGGCCCAAAGGGCGACCCTCCTATGCGCCCTGTCCTCCCTGCCCAAGGCACCCTCCACAGGTAGTATTTATCACATCACCTGCTAATTATCTGCAGTGTCTCAAAGCTCCAAGGAGAGGTTGGGGGTGGGGGGAGACTGTCCATGCCCCAGTCCCGACACAATTCCATGGTCTGATCTCTAGGAGAGCCAATCTGCTCCTGTCTCAATGACTCCCTGGTGGCACGTGCAAGCCTACCTGTTCACCCACAGCCCCACATGACTTCACTGATGGCAAAACGGCGCAGCACTTTCCACGCATGCCATACTCTTACCTGGACTTTTGGGGACCTCCCCCTGCCTTGTAGCAGCACCTTCCCAACCTCCCTCACTTCTTGGGTGCTGGGCTCAGGAATGCTCTCACTGACGAGTCTGCACCCCTGGTGGCTAATGTTTCAGACGCGCCAGGTGGACGTGCCCAAGCCTGAGCTAAGCAGCTGCCTCCCCAGACCTCCAACCGCCAGGCAGCCAGTGTCTAGCCCGGGGAGGCTGCCCCTGCATCCTCACTGGTCCTGTCCAGTTGCTCCCGCCTCTACACCCCACTCCCAGCCTCACCTGATCCCCAGTCCCCACAGGGCCACTCCTCTCACCCGGAGACTCCCAATCATAGGTTCCAGCCCCCCTGTTGTTTCCCTACTGCAGCCTGGGCACTCAGTAGGCAAATCTGAGCATTCCGTTTCCCCACTGGGAAAAAAAGCATGCCAAAGGCCCCCTTTGTCCTACCTTGCTGGCACCCCTCCTTTCCTCTTTTTTTTTTTTTTTTTTTTTGGAATTGAGCAGCTGGATATGAACCGTCCTTTCCTCTTGCTCCTTCCCGGTCTTTGGGACTTTGCATTGGCTCCATTGTCATGGCCTGAGGCACTCTTCAGACACCAATCACAATGCCACCTCCTCCTGAAGCCCTCTGGCACTGCACCTCACTCTGCAGGCCAGCTGCTACTGCTGCCTCCTTCACAGTATCCACAGTGCCCAGCAATCTTCACTGAATGGAGGGATGCCAGCTGTCAGGTGGCTGTTTTTACTAAAATGCATCTTCTAGGACTTTACACTGAATCCACCTAGCCACCTGACAGCTGGCATCTCTAATCTTGTAATCCCAGCCCTATGGGAGGACGAGGTGGGTGGATCACTTGAGACCAGGAGTTCAAGACCAGCCTGGGCAACATAGTGAGACCCTGTCTTTAATTTTTTAACTAATTTTTTTTAAAGGTCCAAGATGACAGGGTTTGGGGAGCTTCATGTGGTGGCTGACAGGAAGGGGAACAAGAACTCATCCATGGCCAGGTGCAGTGGCTCATGTCTATAATCCCAGCACTTTGGGAGTGCGTGGTGGGTGGATGGATTGAGCCCAGGAGTTCCCGACCAGCCTGAGCAATATAGAGATACCCCATCTTTACAAAAATAAAAAAATTAGCTGGGCATAGTGGCACATGCCTGTGGTCCTAGCTACTTGGGAGGCTGAGAGGGGAGGATCACTTGAGCATGGGAGGCAGAGGTTGCAGTGAGCCGAGTTAGTGCCACTGTACTCTAGCCTGGGCAACAACAAAAAAACCCAACTCATCCACGTGTCCAACTCCACCAGGACAGAAACTTCTGTACTTGGGAGTCTTCCAGTCCTCACCCTATGTATCTCTTCATCTGACTGTTTATCTGTAGCCTTTATTTATTTTATCTTTGTGTGTGTGTGTGTGTGTGAGATGGAATCTCTCTCTGTTGCCCAGGCTGGAGTGCAGAGGCAGGGTCTTGGTTCACTGCAACTTCTGCCTCTGGGGTTCAAGTGATTCTCCTGCCTCAGCCTCCTGAGTAACTGGGATTATAGGCTTCTGCCACCACATCGAGCTAATTTTGTATTTTTAGTAGAGACAGGTTTCACCATGTTGGCCAGGCTGGTCTCCAGCTCCTGACCTCCAGTGATCCACCTGCCTCGACCTCCCAAAGTGCTGGGATTACAGGCGTGAGCCACCGTGCCCGGCCTATTTGTAGTTTTTAAAGTTTCCTTTGAGCTACTGACTTTAAGTGATGATAAAGTATGTCTGAGGAGAAAATAAAATAAAACATCCTTTGAAATAAACCGACAAACAGGTCTCCCTGAGTTACTGTGAGCTACTCTAGCAAATTAATTGAACCCAAAGAGGGTGCTGTAGGAACCCCAACTAGAAGCCGATTAGTCAGATGTTCCCAAAGCCCAGACTTGTGACTGGTGGGATGAGGGGTGGTCTTGTGGGACCAAGCCCTCAACCTGTGGTTTCTGAGGCCATCTCCAGGTAGACAGCATGAGAATTGAGTTGAATTGGAAGACACCAGCTGGCGTCGGCTGCAGAATTGATTCTTGCTGGGTGTGTGGGGAGAATCCACACATTTGGTCACAGAAGTCTTCTGTGATGATTGTTGTCTTGTGACAACAGAGGGAAAACACAGTAGTGTTGTGTGTGTGTGTGTGTGTGTTTTGCGATGGAGTCTCGCTCTGTCACCCAGGCTGGAGTGCGGTGGTGCTATCTCGGCTCACTGAAACCTCCGCCTCCTGGGTTCAAGCAATTCTCCTGCCTCAGCCTCCTGAGTGGCTGGGACTACAGGCACATGCCATCATACCCGGCTAATTTTTGTATTATTATTATTATTATTATTATTATTATTTAGTAGAGACGGAGCTTCGCTATGTTGGTCAGGTTGGTCTCCAACTCCTGGCCTCGGGTGATCCACCCACCTTGGCTTCCGAAAGAGCTGGGATTACAAGCGTGAGCCACCGTGTCCAGCCAAAAAACACAATTCAAATTGATTTTTCTTCACATGACCTTATTTGGAAATAGAGTCTGTATAGAAATAATTAGTTAAGATCATTAGAAAGAAAACTAAATCCAGTAGCTAGACTTCTTACAAAGAGGCTGTGTGAGCTGGACATGGTGGCACTCACCCGTAATCCCAGCTACTTGAGAGGCTGAGGCAGGAGGACTGCTTGAGCCCAGGAGTTCAAGACCAGCCTGGGCAACATAGTGAGACCCCATTGCAAAAATAAGGAAGGCCATGTGAAGGCCACACAGACACACAGGGTAGATGGTTTCAGAGACTGGAATGATGCAGCTACAGCCAAGGAAGCCCAAGTGTGGGGAAAAGAAAGAGAGATCAGACTGTTACTGTGTCTATGTAGAAAGAAGTAGACATAAGAGACTCCATTTTGTTCTGTACTAAGAAAAATTCTTTTGCCTTGAGATGCTGTTAATCTGCAACCCTACCGCCAACCCTGTGCTTGCAGAGACATGTGCTGTGTTTACTCTAGGTTTAATGGATTTAGGGCTATGCAGGATGTGCTTTGTTAAACAAGTGCCTGAAGGCAGTATGCTTGTTAAAAGTCATCACCATTCTCTAATCTCAGGTACCCAGGGACACAGACACTGCGGAAGGAAAGCCAGGTATTGTCCAAGGTTTCTCCCCATGTGATAGTCTGAAATATGGCCTCATGGGAAGGGAAAGACCTGACTGTCCCCCAGCCTGACACCCATAAAGGGTCTGTGCTGAGGAGGATTAGTAAAAGAAGAAGGCCTCCTTGCAGTTGAGATAGAGGAAGGCATCTGTCTCCTGCTCGTCCCTGGGCAATGGAATGTCTCGGTGTAAAACCGGATTGTATGTTCTATTTACTGAGATAGGAGAAAACCGCCTTAGGATTGGAGGTGAGCCGTGCTAGCCTGTGCTGGCAGCAATACTGCTCTTTCATGCACCCGGATGTTTATGTAGCTGCACATCAAAGCACAGCACCTTTTTCTTAACCTTGTTTATGACACAGAGACATTTGTTCACATGTTCTCCTGCTGACCCTCTTCCCACTATTACCCTATTGTCCTGCCACATGCCTCTCTCCAAGATGGTAAAGATAATGATCAATAAATACTGAGGGAACTCAGAGACCAGTGCCTGGGTGGGTCCTCTGTATGCTGAGCACCGGTGCCCTGGGCCCACTTTTCTTTCTCTATACTTTGT